GCTGAGATATCGAGATCCCACGTAGCATGTATGCCATTATAAATATCTCAATATCTCTGCTCTGGATGGGTCTAGAGCCTCCATTTTTGCGCTCAAGTCTAAGTCTCATGGCCCTCTATCAGAATCCAGTGTTTCAAGAAGATCAAAGCAACTCAAAATTTCGACCCGAAAAAAAAACGACAGTGGTACCCCTTTCGTTTTTTTTTTTTTTTGTGGGAAAAAATAAGTTTCTTATAGAGGGCCATGGGACTTAGACCTGAGTGAAAAAATGGAGGCTTTTATGGACTGCAGGCTTTAAAGTAGGTGAAATGCTCCAGAAGTTAAAAAAAAAAAGGCTGACATGTGATGTCCATTGTAATTGACACAGGGTCTGAATGGGTTAAAATAGAACATTTCAAAATAAGATCTAAAACATGCATACTGAAAATAAAGTTACAGAAGACAGAATATAACAGATCAATAAGATCAATTAATAGTTAAAATATATATTTATTTATTTATTTACAGTTGAAGGGAAATCACTAGGGAAATTTCAGCAGTCTTATTACACACATTTTTCTTCTTGTGGTCCAGTTCTAGAGCAAACTCATCTGCAGTAGTACTTTTGCTCTGCCTACAAGTAGATGCTTGTCAGAATGTTTTTTTCTTGTAGTTCTTGAGCAAAACAAATAAGAGCATGTTATATTGATTTTACATCTCATATTCTTTCTCCCATAAACTTGCTAAGGTTGTTTGTCGCTCTTCAAATGAACAGGATTTTAAAAAAAAGTTCGTAAGTTCTGCCAGGAAGACTCAATTGTTACGTCATTTTTTTACCTTCTCATCTATCCAATCGCGTTCTAATACGTGAAGTATAAAAGATCTATACTTACACTCGTCTGAGTTCGCAGATGCTGGTGCTTCCACTTACCACTATCCTCCCCACCTCCACCAAGACGGTCTTCCCTCCATCCTTCCCACCACCACCAGGCTGGTCCCTTCCAATACCCCAAGGGGGGTCGGCTACGGCCCTGCCTTCATCTTCAGGCAGGAAATGCAGAATCCATACCCTCGGACGGTGAGTTACGGACGGGGCCTACACCAAAGAACTTTATTGCATATATTGCTTGCTGGACTGTTAATAAAATGCATAATAGTACAGAATGCTCTCTCCCGAGTCTTTCTGGTAGAAGTTATTTTCCACCTGATCTTCCCCTATGGGGGTTTCGGTTGTGTTGTTCTGTACTTGCAATTTACATTCTCCACAATATCCTCCATTTCTTTTCATCTAATGACTGCTTTCTAATACTGTGCTGTTCATCGGCCTGCACGGGGATAGGACAGAGTCAGGAGCAATCTGTCAAACATTCTGGAGAACGCAAAAGCTTGAAAAGAATATCACCATTCAGGCATTGATTTGTTAAGGGGGCCTTTCGTTGTCACTCAGAGTTCTGTCGAATGACGATGAATGGGGTTTAGCTAACATTTCCCATGCCCCAAAAATGTACATTTCTATGAATTAATTAACCAATATTGAGTGTTCACGGGATGAACCGAGTAATTGGTTGTAATGTTAATGTAGCTACATCAAATTAACTGATCCAAATATTCATAATCAATAACAAGTTATGATTGATTATTAATATTTCATAGAGCTAGTTTGCTACAAACAAAAGTACTTTTAAAAAAAGAGTTATAAAGTCTGTTAGTAATATACAATTCCAACTTTAATGTACTCAGTAATAAATTAAATAAGAAACAAAGTTTTACGCATTACAAACAGAGACTCATTCTCCATCTTTTGGCAAAATACTGTAGTTTCCCTTCACATTACAGCTTTAATGAGTTCACATTAAAATCACACCTTTTCTCCCTCACACACTTTTAGATAAAACATTGAGAACATACATTATTTTGTTGTTATTGTTATAATGATGATGATGATAAAGTACTCTATGCAGCACTTGATTTTTTTTTTTACCCAAAATATAAATTTGTCTCAGTACAGAACAGATCTCAAGACAATAATAGTGTCATATAACTAACAAACACTTGGCTTTTTTTAAAAAAAACAAAAAAAACAAAGTCTTTTAAAACAGTAATTTATCAAATAGCAATACATACAAAACCAAACACTTAATTTCTTTTGTAAATATTTCAATGTTTGTGGTTAAAGAGAAATGCAATAGTATGAGACGAATGCACACACACACACACACACACACACACACACACAGAAAAGACATGCTTTAAGATCGAAGTATCACAAGAGAGCACATGTGACACCAGGACTCTCACACCACACAAGCACTCTGACACACAAGAGTCAAACGAGCATGCTTTGATGGACTATGAATATTAGATATTCAAGGTCATTTTGTTTATGCCAGGGTATTTGGGGCTGTTGTGACTGATTTATGATCAAATAACAGTGGATGAGCATGGAAACACATTTCAACATTTTAAATTATTTACTTGTCCTCATGTTTAATGTTATTTTGATTCCCACTAACTTTAATTGTATTGAAAAAAGGCCATGAGAAGGCCATAAAGGTTTTTTAACTACATGAAGGTGAAATTATTCTTTTAAGTGTGCGTCTACACATCTTCTGTTATATGATCATAGATCCGTCACAATGTTTTAGGCCAAGTCCTCGAAAAAATGGTCCTTCCCGGTCCACATAAAAAGATTTTCTAGAGGGATATGCATATGGTAATTTCCTTCAAGGTTATCCACAGGCTGCTGAGCAATAAACAGGGATTCACCACCATAATCCTCTATAGTTTGATGCAGCTATGACGGCTACGTTTGAATATGTTTACCCTATTAAAATCAATCACTGCTCTGCTCTCCACAAAGCAAAACACTCATATTGATATGAGGCAATACTCTAAGGGGCCATTTAAGTTTTTTTTTTTTATTGTCCTTGAATTCGGGTGGAACTTTTAAGTTAATTTACCCTGTGCGGCCAGATAAAAGGAGAAAGATGAGAGTGACCTTATAAAGTAATTACAAACCAACTCATCCACCCTAGAGCACGGACACCAGACAACATGATAGAAAGACAGAAGACATCGCCTAGCAACAAGAAGCACTAAAAATACATCACTCTGTGCTTTTTTTAGTCTGGTATCATTGGAATGTATAAATACACATATGAAGGTATAAATGCGGACCGTATGTACATCGGTTTCGCCGACTGTTGCGTCACGCATTGCATGAGAAAGTAAGCAGAACACTTTGCCATAGAGGCTGACTGTAGATTTGTTGGACCTCTATGTTCTATCTTTCACGAAAATGGAGTGCTACAGCAGCCCAGCCTCTTTTAAACCAATGGTATCGTCATAACAGATAGCACCCTTTTAAGTGGTGCATTTGGCCATTGGCATCATTATAAATCAAGTAATGGGACTGTGCATTCCCTCTTATCATATTTCAGAAAGCTCTTTAAAAAGACTTTTATTTAGTGCATTAAAACGGAATGCTCTGTTCTACTGGGGCCCTTAATTTGGAGCAACACCAGACTTTCCTAAAGCTATAACTTTCCATTTCCTATAGCATGTGTCCCAGGTCGGGCCAAGCAGATGGCTGATAGCTGAGAAAATGGGGACACATTAAACCCTTGTAAACAATTATGTAATATCTGCAAACTGAAACCCATAATCACTGTATCACTTAGCAAAGAGGAGTGAGAGAGAGAAAGAGAGAGTGTGTGATGGGCTAACTAAGCTAGTTTAACTCCTGGCTAACTGGAAATGAAACATGTCTCATTAGTTACGGAGCAGATGGAGGACACTGAATAAAGAGAGCGAACTGAAATTTAAATAGAATCATATCTATTATACATTAACCACGCACAAATTAGGCAGCGGCAATGCTATCAGGAGAGGTAAGCGCTTGGATAATTGGATACGGCTCTGGATTAATGTGGCAAAGGTGAGGGGCTCACATTTCACAGGTAAAATGCTCATGCTGTGCATGAACAATAAATAAACTCACTTGACTACAGTGTAAACTCAGTGACTGACTATATGGCCTGGAGACATTGTGCTGTTGATATCAAGGCACCCATGTTGTGTTCACACACAACCACATGAAGCAATGCCTTTGATAGCGAATAGAGCTTGACACAGTGAACATAGTTCGGCAAGACAGGACAGTCTGCTCTCTCACAGCATGATTTAGGACCAACATTATGAGAACGAATGTACCACATGGTCATGGAAGCTGCACCCATTTGTGGATTAATGGATGATGGGAAAAGATTTCGAAGCTCACAGGATGAGAGCCTGAAACTCCTGAGTGTGGCAGTGACGGACACAAAATTCATATAAAATTCAACACTTTCATACGTTAAGACACTCATATTCATATACAAAGACTTTGAACACTGCTTGACAGATTAGCACACAACACTCTAATCCACTGCACTCGTCCTTTCGAGCTCTCATACAGTACACACACAGCCTACAATATTTCCCCACACAATACGTAGTTGGTAATAATAAATATCAATAAATATCACATGAATAAACACTAACACCTTGGTTCTTATGTCAATGTCACCATTAAACTATTTGTTTTGGTCTCCATTCAACTTCTACCACTAATGTTGTGCCATGCAAAATTTGTACCTCTTCTCGTTTTGTTCACGTTCAACAAAAATAGCCAGAAAGGCTTGAAAACACAAATCTTTCTTTTCTTCAGTAGCTTCCATTAACTTTCAGTAGCATGTAATGATAAAAAGAAATGAATAAATAAAAACACCAGCTTTACGACACCAGTATTTGACATAAAAAAGTAGATGTTAAAACCAACCCGATCTCACGAGAATTCGTACGAATTTTACGAGGTGGCTAATTCGTACGACCTCACTCGTACAAATTAGAACGTTTTTGCTAAATCGTACATATTTTACGAATTGGCCAATTCGTATGAATTCGTACGAATGACCTACCCCTGACCCCGCCCCTAAACCTACCCATCACGTGGGTTTGGACAAATCGTAGGAATTCATACGAGTGAGGTTGTATGGATTAGCCACTTTTTAAATCACTCGTACGAATTCGTATGAATTGGTCGTGAGATAGCGTAGGTTGTCAGGGGAGGGGTCATTTATAAACAAGGTGTGGTATATATAATATTGGGGTGGGCCCACACTAAAGAATTGTGGACTGAGTCGAAGTTGAGAAAGAGTGTGGTGAACATAGTGATGGGTCAGGATGAGAGGCAAAAATGTGTGGTATTGATAATGTAGGGAGGAGTGAATAGGCTGTTTGTTGTGTTGGGAGAGGGGTCATATGTACAGTAAATAAGATGTGGCATAGATAGTTTGGGGTGGAGCAGAGATGGAGAAGGCATATCACATGTAGGGGGAAGGGTCATATGTAAATAAGGTGTGGTAATATTGGGGTGGGGCCAGAGATGAAAACGGTGTTGCACAGGTAGTGTAGTCAGTGGGTGGAGTCAGAAGTGAATAGGGTGTGGTGTTTGTAGTGATAGGGAAGGGTCAGAGGTGGGGGACGGGGCCATTGGTCAAAAAGTGCAGTATACAGTAAGTAGTGCTAGGGCGGGGTCAATGATGACAAATCTGCAGTATAGAAAACACCGAGGCAAGGTTAGTAGTCAGGAAGTTGAATTATTATTGGGGGAGAGGTCAAAGTAGGTATAGGTAGGTATCATTGTGTGTGGGGCAGAGTCAGTTTGGGAAGGCTCAGCCCTCGCCGCATCACTTGAGCTGAAATTATAGTTGTGAGAAATGAAAGGTGCTAGTGTGGTGTGAAGGTCTATGTGGAGCTGCAGAAACAGGTGAGAGAAGACACATGAAACAGAGTGTTCATGTCTTAAGGGTAGGTAGAGGTGTGAAGCATTCCCAAATCTCTGCAGTGGGAACGAGTCAATCGACTGCGACTGGGAGGATTTCTGAGAGAACATCTAAGTGAGGCAATAAAGGACCATCCTTGGGAAAAAGCAGCACTGAAGCAAGAAAAGCGCTGAGGGGGCCCTCTGGAGAGTGTTCTGGAGAGTGTTGCTGTCTGAATATCCAGGTGGTGGCAGACACCATGTAAGAGAAATCCATCTATAAAGAGAAGCTGTGCATGAAACCACACAGCCTCTATGATCCTTCACTGACACTCATCTCGATATCCACATCAGTGTGAGCGAAAGGATGCAAGTTCAATTTCAGCGATGATAATTACCAGTAAAAACAGATGTAAACACTAATTTTTGACTTCTCATATACACAAAAGCAGAGAGGAAGAATGACGGGGGTTGTACAGTGGAGTACATCTTTCTTGTGATCTTTCTCAGAAGCCAGGCACATGGCAGTAAGCCTCCAGCGAGGACAGCATGATGTAGATGAGCCACATCATGAAGAAAAGGAACACGGTGAGCAGCTTGGCGGTTCGCGGGCCCCCCAGCTCACCCCCAGATACAGTGGGCCGGCGGCGGTACAGTAGAGTCACAACACACAGCAGTGCCATGATGGTGAAGAGGGTGACGGAGAACGCCAGCGACCCGGGCGGGACCATGAATTGTTTGCCTTGACTGTTCCAGTACACGGCAGCGATGGTCCACGCCACTCCGATACCCAGGAAGACGTTAACTGCATTACTACCCGTCACATTTCCAATGGATGCGTCGGCGTATTGGTCCTGGATGGCTGCCACCTTGCTGGCAAATGTGTCTGGAGAGAGCAAAAGAAAAGTCAGAGAGAGAAAGATGGTGAGAACTGGAAGAGCCCCAGAGGAGCATTTTAATGAAAGACGTTGTTCTTTCATAGTTCAGGACAGTACTTCTTAACGCGGTTCCTGGAAACACACCAACTAACAAATAAACTTCCTAACACACCTGATTCAGCTCATCAGTAGAGACTTCAAGACCTAAAATAGATGGGTCAAGAGAGAGACATCCAAAATGTTTACTATTGATGTTCCTTCAGGAACCGGGATGGGAATCAGACTGGTCGCAATTATGTTTACTTGAAGTATTAACTTTGTCTCGAATTTTTCTCCTAAAACGCCCGTATGAGAAATACAAATAAAAACAAATGAGATCATTGTTGACCTACTAAGAGTATAGATGTACTATGTGATACAATGAATGTTAGCAATTTGGCCTGGGAAGAACTTGGTGAAAAATATCGGACTTTAGATTGTAGACTGATTGTAAATCTGAGCAAAGTTATTGACCTCTTCTGAAACTCTAGAGAGATAAATATTAGATTACAAGTGTCTTTTTCTTAGAAGAAATATCTGACAGTAAAGATGGGCAATAGACAGGTTAAACCAATATACTGTTAACAAAAGAAAATGAAAAAGTGTTTTATTGGAGTTATGAATTTGAGTTTTCAGTCTAACTTGAAAGTGATGTGGTAAATGTCCACAGAAAAGCAATAATGGCAAGAAAACCTCTTTCTATTGAGTAAGCTACATTAAAAAAAAAAAATCACAGCGCAGGCAGCGTTGTTTGATTAAAAACAAATTAATCTTATGAACTAGTTATTTTAGTCAATCATTCAAGAAGACCCACATACCAAGGAGTTACCAAATCTTTACCAAATGAACTCAATTCACAACAAATTTGTGAAAGTGTTAGTCAAATTGCAAATATCGTATATTAAAACATATTTTGAAGAATATGGGTAACCAAACTATTTTTTGGTGAACTATCCCTTTAATCTCACTGTCTAAAAGAAACAACTGAGATCTTTCAAATGGATCTTTTCATTATGTGTGTTGGAGCTCGAGGATGGTTTGACATAGAGAGCTTGAGTATTTGCAGAATCATTCCATCCAGTCTATTGTGGCTAATTCCAAGACAAACACACAGATCCCTTGTTGCTCCAGAGCAAATCATGTCCTCTAATTAGTCCACATTATTAAACAGTCTAAAACCACAGCACGCGCAGAAAAGCTGACATTAACGACAGTAACGACATTTTAATAGTACAGTATGAATATTTGATGGAATACTTGATTCTGATTAATTGATCTGGTTAATCATCATGGCATTCAGGTTTTGTACATTATCCCTTACTAATCAACTGCATGCTATTGGAAGGACATCTGATACACAAATAAACACTCACCAGGCACAGATGTACCCAGGGCCACAAACACCACAGCTGTGACTGAGTCCTTCAGGCCAACTGTACAACCAAAGTGAGAAGCCAGATCTCCAGTGAGAGCAGTTAGGGCCCCGATGAGCGTGATGGAGACAATAAAGCAGGCCCAGCCGTTCCAGTACTCCGTGGGTGGAACGAATGCAAACAGAACCTTCCAGAAAACCGTCAGGAAGTGCATGATGTAATCAAAGCATGAGGGCAAGCGTTCCTCCCCGCTCTCCTCCTCATCATCGTCACCTATGGAGGTAAGCAAAAGTATATAACACTCAGGTTGCTCGATAATAGCAAAATTTGTTATGGCAATTTTGTCAGTATAATATATATATATATATATATATATATATATATATATATATATATATATAATTAAACAAAAAAATATGTAAAAAAATATTTACAAATTGAAATAAATTAGACTGTTATATATACAAAAAAAAAAAAACAAGAGCATCATTGTGAAATTAGGAACACAATATTTTGTTTTTATCTCAATTGTCTTGTTTTCATAATTGTCAGAAGCAAAAATCATAATTGAAAATAAAATTTGATTAAACGCCCAGCAGTCTGGAACAAAGTAAAATAGGGGTAAAAATTAATAAGAATTCAGGCAAATAAAAGTTTCGGATTTCGAAGATAATTTTATGCCTCGCTCCACACATAACTGTTTACTGAAAAAAATGGAAGGATTTTCTTTTAGACCATTTTTACTCAGAAATTGCTAGTAAATTTCAGAAATAATTACAAAGAAACATCGAGCACTGAAATAAATGTGATTTTTTTATGTAAAAAATAAAATTAAGCACTTAAATAATAAATGTGACATTTTCACGTAAAATTATACTAATAATCCCATAATAATCTAATCCAATAATTTTTGTTTTACTTACAACTTCAAAAAATGTTTTCTTACGGTGTACACCTAACATTTAATAACTCCTGCCTTGCTGAGATTGAGTCACGTCCCACAGAAGATTCACATTCAGTGTGGTCAAACAAATTGGTTGTTGCTGGCAAGGTTTTATAAAAATCATTTGTTTGAATATAAATCAGTTGTGTGGTCCACAGGCTTCTATTTAAACACAGAAAGACACTGACCTGCACTGACAGTCACAGCGCTGACAAACTGTTCTCTCCAGCTACTGCTGCCCACCACCAGCGCCAGGTTAGTCTTCTTTATTAGCTTGTCGACAGTATTCTGCAAAAACACACAAATACACATACAACACCAAGAAGATAAATCAAACCGAAACTCACAAAAATGTGTCCTGGTAGTAGACAAGATTTAATAGTTTAGTTTGTATTGCATTCAAATGGCTGCGGATAATCTTAGCGGGAGTAACACAGTGTTTCCACCCCAAATCTCTTCTGAATCCCTGAGCTACTTGACCCCTGTGACCTCCAGTATTGGGAAGGAGGAGGTAAGGAATCAGATAAATTGAATGCGAGAAACTGAGCAGAGCTATATTGTTTTTCCTTATTCACAGGATTTACCTTAAACTCATAGGATTCCTCTATGACCACCTCCATTTTGGTGTGCTCTCCCAGACTCGGGCACCCCATCTTGGCCACCTCCTCTTCCTCAGCCACCACAGCCGGTTTGTTATCGTTAGAGTCCCCTGTCAGCAGAAGACACATCGAACATCTGAGATGTGTAGAGTTTGCACATGTACTACAAACTAAAAGTTCATGAACATTAAACTAACACAAACAGAACGTGACTTTTTTTTTTTGCTCCAAAAAAACTGTATTCAGATTAGATTTTTTATTTCTTACTGTTACAAACTAAGGCTGTAAATCAGTGTTGTTTTATCATCATTAAAATATTATTATCGTTTTTATTTTATTTTAATATTTTAGTTTTTTATTTTTAAGTCTTATTTTAAAAATCTAACCACATGGTCTAAAATGATTCAGGATGGGAAAATGATAACTGCGTAAGGCTGAAAACTAGCAAAAAACCCTTGTATTGTGCCTGGTGTATGATAGGGATTTTAATATTTAACATTCATATTAAATTTAAATATGTATTTGTATTGTAATATAAATATTCAAATGTTTAAAATGTTTTTAAAAATGAGTGCGTTAAAAACATATTTTATTTCTGTTACCTTTGAAAGCTCCAAAAAGTTATTTTTGTGAGAAAAAAAACTATTAAATAAATGTCTTATTGAAAAAATGACTGAACTAAATTGTGGATGAATAGTGAACAAGAATACTGCATATAAATGCATCACAACTATTTAGTGAATTTATCCCTTTGTGTTTACTATAATCAGTTGCAATGTATCATGTTGTAGTAGCGCTATATATAAGCAGGAAACAAACACATCACTTGTATTCTAGAGAAGCGTTGAAGAGACGTTGAGATCCTGTAACAGTACAGCAATTTGAAGAGAATGGGGATTAACATTAAATTAAAGCAGTTAGAACATAATTAACGAGTAGAAATGGCCTAGAGATATTGCTTCAACATGGCCGCTTGCACTGCGACCAGTTACGGCCTGTTCCTACTCTCCTACTATAACAATCACTGTCTGCCAAAAGACCACAATCCACTGCCTGCCATTATTCGCACAAAGAAACCTTTCAATCAAATCTGTTCCTGAATTATTCAGGGATAGATGTGAAAGCTATTAATACAATATTAAACAGAGACCCCAATCTGTATTCTAATACAAAACCATAGAACTATGCAGATGGATGTCAAAAGGAGATCCACTGACCATGTTTCTGCCCGATCTCCAACAGCACCGGCTCCGCTAGGTGGATGGTGAAGGTTTTGTTCTTCTCATACTCCTCATCGTCAATGACCTTCACCTCCAGGATCTTCCTGCGTTGGACAAAGACAGAAAAAATTTGTAAATCAAAGTTGACAGTGGCAGGAAAAACTACCTAAAATTGTTAAAGCTGATTATTAAGAAACATTGGTATAGCTATACAGCAGCAGCCATTGACAAAGATTTGACAAAGAGCTGAGAAAAGGCAGTGGAAGAAATGGGTTCATTCAAGCAGAATGGTTTTCTGTGTAAATCGTTCATAAAACCATTCTTGTGTAGATTGTCACTTTCAGTTCAATGCAACAATTGATGAAGGAATGGATTAATGAATGATTTACATCTAAATTCGTTCTGAACCCCAAAGAGAGTATGTAACATTCCCTAATATTAATTGAATGAACGATTTTTGAAAAAAGGAAATGAAAATGTATGTAGTGGGCATTTTGAGTTTCCTGCATTATAGAAAAGCACAAAAGCAGAAGAGCTGATTCCTTCAGAGAGGCAGAAACATGCATCAGACGGGGCTGCGTACAATGTTATTGTGGTTAGGAAGCAGGTGGTTAGCCGTGGCAAATCGCCATTTGTCATTATTAGCAATTAGAACACTCAGAACATGGTTGATTAGCACTGTCTACAGGAAAGCTTTACAACAGCAACAAGGACAGAATTTAATTAATTTAGCAACAAACAAAAAGATGGTGGCACTTAATCACCACAGTAGGCCTATATGATTTTGTGGTAACCATGGCTGTAGGCAGGGTTTTAGAAATACTGAGGTCAAAACTAAGCTTGCTTGAGGGTTTGAGCGCCCCAGAAAAAAATGTAGATTCCCTTGATCAACAAAATGTGCAAGATTGGATAACAATAGCCATGTCAAACCATGTCAGTCTTTTTCATTTCCGTCTGTGTCAGTGAAATTTCACAATTTCATGAAATAAATAAATAAATAAATAAAAATCGCACTTGGGTTTGGAATGACAATTATGGTAAATGTTAACAGAATGAAAAGGTGAACTATCCCTTTAGACACCTATATAAATTAAAAAAGGAGACATGCATATTAAGACTATAGACATCTCAGGTGAGTTAAACTGCAGATTCAGTGCAGAAACTGAAAAAAGAGATAAGAAAATGAGTTTTGTCTGCGTGTAATCCAGTCTAATCCTGGATATGAGGACAGAGAAGTGAATTCTGATCTCAAGACTGTTTGGGAAAGAGCTCATGGATAATGACAAAGGCAAGGGACAGGTTCGTTAGGCATGTTCAGGTATATCTGCATTTAATGTGTAAACACGTTCCCGCTGCTGTTTTGTACAGTAATCCCTCTATTACATGTTAGCACTAATCTTCTCTCTGCCCACTTCTCTGTGCTTTGCAGTATTCATTGGCCAGGCGTGTGTGTAATTAAATTCATTAGGACTTGTTCTTTATTAATTAGCCCACCGTGCTTATCTTGCATGATTCTAACACGTGCATGCCTCAGCACATCCCATCCCCCATTTTTGTATTTTTTTTCTCTGTATCTGCAGTTCTCCTGACTACATCCCAATGACCCTGTAAACATCTTGTCTACAATATATTGTGTGGCACTGGCAGTGTCAAGCTCAAAAATATGAAATACAAGGAAAAGAAAAAAATAGTGTTGGAAATAAGCAGTCGCATCATGATTTACAAGAAGCAGAAAGTTCAAGATTTCTGCCAGTTTGTGCCACTGAACATAAAAAATGTAAAAATGACCAACAGCTCCATTAATAATATGTTTTCAATATAATATACAGACACAGCAATAATTACATATAAAAATATTTAAAAATAGTACACAATCAAAAATGAAAGTAATATTTAAATATTACTTTTAAATATTACTTTTAATTAATATTTAAAACCTCTAAAAACATTAAAAATGCTTGCTACGGATGCAAAAAACGCAGAAAATGTAACCTGATTAAATTTTTTTTTTATGACGGACGAAAATTTCAGCGGCATTGTGTAAACGTGATAGACACAACATAAGGTTGTATCTATTTTTTATTTTTAAGTCTTTTTAACAATCTAACCGCATGGTCTAAAATGATTCAGGATGTGAAAATGATAACTGCGTAGGGCTGAAAATTAGCAAAAAAACACTTGTATTGTAAGCCCCTAGTAATTTTAATATTTAACATTCATATTAAAGTTAAATTTAAGTCTTTCATCTAATATTTATATTGTAATATAAATATTCAAATGTTTAAAATGTTTTTAAAAATTACTGCGTTAAAAACATGTTTCATTTCAGTTACCTTTGAAAGCCCCAAAACGTTTTTTTTGTGAGAAAAAAACTATTAAATAAATGTCTTTGTGAAAAAATTACTGAAATAAATTGTGGATGAATAGTGAACAAGAATACTGCATATAAATGCATCACAACTATTTAGTGAATTCATCCCTTTGTGTTTATTATAATCAGTGTAGTAAAAAAAAGTAAAAAAAACACAAAAAATGCTTGCTACGGATGCGAAAAACGCAGAAAATGTAACCCGATTCGAATTTTTTTATGACGGACGAAAATTTCAGCGGCATTGTGTAAACGTGATAAGGTCGTATCTATTTTTTAACGTGCAAAAATTTCTGACTCAATGTGCAAGGACCTTTACTGACCCCAAACCTTCAAAAGGCAGTATACATAAAATAAAATGTGGTTAGATTTAATTCAGATGTAAATTGATTAATACTTCACAGCGTTTACAGCAGCAATTATAATGCGATCAAGTGTAAAGATGGTTCTATCAGAAAGACTCGGGAGATAAAATGATATAGCAAGCATATATTTATTAACAGCTCGGCAAGCATGAATTTATAAAGTTCTTTGGCGTAGGCCCCGTCCTTAGCGAGCAATGCGAGGGTAGCGGAATCTGCATGTCCTGCCTAAAGATGAAGGCGGGGGCATAGCCGACCCCTCTGGAGGTAAAGGAACGGACCATCCTGGTGGGGGTGGGGAGGATGAAGGGGAAGCTACCATCTTGGAGGTGGTTGGGGAGGATGGAGGTAATGTAAGTACCAATCTTTTATACTGTGAGTGTTAGCACGATTGGTTAGAAGTAAGGTTATACATGACGCACTGATTGAGTCTTCCTAGCAGAATGTATGCTAAAGCTTTCATTTCTTGTGAGATTAAAATGTTTTTTTTTTTTTATTCTGGTTGCTTTGGCCTGGATGTTGGAGATAAAAAGATCCACACAAACAGCAGGATAAGGACGGATAACGGAATGCAGAAAGCAATTAACCATGATGCCAGGCATACACAGCAGCGTCATCTCTGTGACCAGGTAACTTCACCCCACATGCTAGCTCTCAGCTGTAATTAGATCCATTACTCACTGAGGCAAACACTCCCCACCAAAGAAAGAGACAGATGTGCATAAACAAAAAAATCAACAAGGGACCTTAACGCGGTCTGAAACTCACACAGCTGCTCACTTCCAAAACCTATCTTCACACTCACATGCACAGCCTGTATGTATGCTAGCAGGCATGAATACACACACTACAGCCATTCAGCAAGCACTGTTGTCATGGGTGAAATTCACAAATTTACACACAGCCACACATATGGTGTCAACTCAATAATAAGTGAGCACATTAACAGCGTTTGCCAGAGGTGGGGACAAGTCACACATGGTCAAGTCCAAGCAAGTCTCAAGTCTTAACCATCAAGTCTCGAGTCAAGTCTCAAGTCGCAGTTCAGATAAATCAAGCAAGTCAAGTCAAGTCAAGGGTTCACCCTAAGCAAGTCAAGTCAAGTCCTGATAAGTTTCAAGTAAAGTCAAGTCACACTACTAAAATAAATGAAGTTTTGTTAATAACTAAGTTCGGGAGGAGCACGTTCAGATAATTAACACGAGTGGACGGCAATCAGCAATCAGCAACCAATGATAAGAGGGTATATATAGACTCAGCAGTCTTACCTCGATCCATTGGCAGTTTGCAGCATTTGGCCATGTCCGAATCTAGCTCTTCCTGTTTTCGATAGAGAATCTTTCGTCCAGAATTAGGAATCTTTTCCGCAACCCGGTATCATCCCATGGGCGTCAGGCCAAACAAACGGGTCATCGCCACCCCGGGCGAAACATCCGCAATCTACTTCCGCGGTATCTTTAAACCGGACCATTCAATAATTCCTGCCATAGAGATATGGACAAGGCAATGCTGCCATCTTAACGCAAAGGAATGGACATTCCTCCAGCGTCGGCCGTCGCAACAGGCAGTAAGTAAGTTAAGCCACGCTGCAGATCCAGTCCCGGCTGATCCACACTCTCAAACATCTGCCGGGTCAACTCTGTGAGTGCTTAGCTGAAAACTTTCGCGTCCCTGATTGAACTTCGCATCGCTTCAATCGTTGAATGTCGAGCATTTACGCTATCCGGATACTAATTGTGATCGATATAAATAGTTTCTGTACAATGATTTGCGTTCCTTAAACGCGATGCTTCTTTATGGCGTAAAACTCACACGTAAACAGTAGGGCTGGGAATCGATTCTAAAAGAATTGATTCCTCGATCGCAAAAAGAATCGATTCCTCGATCCGAGGCGTTAGGAATATAGAGTCGATTCCAAAGCTAGGAATCGTTTCCATTAACAGGAATCGACTCCTCTTTTAAGATTTCAGAAGTTCAGACCAATTCTAACCCGCAGCTTCACCATTTGGTTTACTAATCCAGAACGAACAAATCGGCAGGGAACCACCCTTAGAAATGACAAATAAATAAATGAGAAACAACGGAGCTTTTACACTAGGCTTGTTGCGGTGAAATGCCATATATGGTTTGTATCCTGTGTTTGCAGCGGTCCGAGCGCATTTGTCCCCGACGCCCCCCGCAGCGTGGGTCCGGTTCCACACCCAATTTAATTCTATCGAACCTTGGTGCGTTCGCGTGCATCTTATGTCATTGCAAACGTGCACGGCGCTCGAGGGAAAGCAGAACGCGGGTAAATATTGTGTATTTACTTATTTATTTTTAGTAAAATTGCTTCTATTATGCGCAGTTAAGTGAACAATACAGGTTTATTGTA